CAGCACGGGGGACGTCGGGTCCCCCACCACAGGGCAGGCCCGAGCTGGGGGGGCCGGGGCAGCCCCACCACCCCCAGGCCGCGCCCAGCACCATGAGGTGACCCGGGGAGCACTTCGAGGCCCACGGCTGGTGACGCCTGCCCACGCTGCCCACACTCGGGCCCACCAGCAGCCTCAGCCGGTCCCCGGCAGCGCAGTGGGCGTTGTGATGTAAAGTCCATATTTTATATCCCCATCTTTACATCTTTCCGACCGTTTACCCGCCCGGTTTAACTTTGCAGCTGGGTGACGGCACTTAGAAGCCGGTCGGCGGGCGCTTTGTATCAAAGGTGCCGACCGGCCAGCCCCGGCACCTTGTGTAACGTGTCCGTGTGTCTGTCCGCCTGGTTCACCGGGGGCGAGGGAGGCTGCCGGTCAGCGGGATCTTTCCCTGGTGTCCCAGGGAGCTGCTCGCCCCACGAGGGCCGCTCGTTTGTTTGGTGGCTTTTGAAAAATGCCAGCTGGGGAGAAAGGAGCCGGGTTTGGGGGAGCCGGGGTTCTCCACAACCCGACGCCGCTTCCCTGTTCCGGGTCACGCTGTGGTGGAGAGCGGGCGCTTTGCCCCCGGTTCAACTGATTCAGGCAGGTGCAGAAGCATGCGGCTGCTGCGGGTGCAGGCAGGGGCTGATTTCATCTCATCGAGTCCCCACCGGCATCCGACGGACGGATCAAGGAGGAGCTGGGCTGCTGCCTGCCCTGGAGCGGGCGCTCTCCCTGGCAAAGGCCTGCTGCTCCTGCCCTGCCTAGTTGGCTTTAAAACTGTTGGTCAGGCAGGCTGCTTTCGTTTTCACTTTGCCTGACCCCCTCCTGCAGCCGGGGTCCTGGGCCAGCTGTCACCTGGACCTTCGGGCCATTTGCCCTTTTTTTTTTTTTTTTTTAAAGCAGAAAGAACTGCCTGCATTTAAACGGGGTCAGTGACCAAAGTCGTCATCTGTCATCAGGGATGGATCTTCCAGGGGTGAGAAAGGCCCCCACCCCGATTCGGCAAGGATGGGGGGCTGGCAGCACGGTGCCGGTTGTGGTGGCGGTCCGAGGCGTGCCAAGGGGGAACCGCCAGCCGCCATGCTCGCAGGCAGCCATCTGTGCCCCTCCGAGAGGAGCCTACTCCCCTGGGAGGTGGGATTCGGCTGCCCTGGGCACATCCTGCCCCGATCCTGCGTGCGGCATGGGGGACTGAGCATCACCCCTGGCCCCTGCCGCTTCCCTGCAGGCAGCCAGCCCTGGGCAAAGAGCCCGGCCGGGGGAAATGCCGCCTGGGCTCGGGGTGGAAATGGGTGCAGGGCACGGGTGGGGCTGGCCATCGCATGCAGCTGCTTTTGGGAATCGGTGCGGGGCCAAGCGCTGGGCTAACGGGACGGCAGAGGCGCAACTCC